TTTTTTGAAGTTACTGAATTTGAATAATTCATTAATAACTTAATTAATCTACATATATGTTAAAGATAGTTAAATATTATATTTATTTTAGAAAGTAAAATGCATAATTATAATTCACTGTTGTTAAAATAACATAGTTATATATGCAATTATAACGTAGATACAAGCCACCGACATCTTTAAGGAAAAACAAATATTTAATATTTCGACAATTTTGTAGAGACGAGTTCATGAGTTGGATTTGATTGGATGACTCGATCCTCTCACAAGAAAAATTTGTTCTTATATTTATTATTAATTATTAATTTTAATCGTGTCTACAAGTTCAGGAAGTTTCATCTCTAATTATAATAACTCAAATATGTATAATGAATAATTAGAAATTTTTGCATAAATTATCAGATAATAATTAGATCAGAGATCAAATTATGATAATTAAGTCACTTTTCAAATAAAAGTGTGCGGAACCAATGTACTTAATTAAAATGAAGATTTCAATAATACAAGAGTTTTGATGATAATAAACAAGTTTGGAAGAAGACCTCAAGAGTGATACAATTCAAAACAATAAAAAAAAAGTTTAAGGAAGCAATTCAACAAGTCAATAAATGCAAAACCATCAAGACACATGACCAAGTCCAAAGAGAGATCAAGAATAAAGTTACAATGGAAGTACCTAAGTCCTAGAACCTACAAGTAGTACATCTATAGGACTTAGACCCAAATGTAAAGGTAATTGATTAATATTGCATGAATGAGCTCAAACGATGCTTATTTATATGCATGCATTATTTATGACTTTAAACACTTGAAAGAAATTTGAAAAACTCATAAAAAAGACCGTTGACAAGTTTTATAACTTTAAAATCTATTTATCAAGTCAAGGTATTGCATTAAAAATGGTTGGAGACAAGTTGGAATGCATTGGAACTCAAAATGCTGCATTTTCAGTTGCTATCAAGACAGTATTCAAATACTTTCTTGAAAAGTAATCAGATACTTTGTTTCGAGCATAGTAATCAAATACTTTTCATAAAGTATTCGAATACTTGCTGAAATGTTCGATTATTTTGCAAAAAGTAATCGAATACTTACTGGACAGTAATCATTCTAACGACTAGTTTCGATCAAACACTTATATATACTCATTTGTTACGCCTCAAACTAGTTGAAATCAATGTTTTATTGAATATACAATCATTCTTGACTATTCTATTTGAATCACAACATCAATTACTTATTCTTACTCATTTTGATCATAAACACTCTTTGAGCTCTTCTCTTGTGATATTCATCATTACCTATAAGCTTCAACTTGTTCAATCTGTACTTTAAGAGTACTTATTCATTTCTAAACACTCACCTACTTAATGCTTGAGTTGAGGGTAGTGAAACCCTTTGTATTTGAGAGGATACCAAATTCCTAAGTAATTTTGGAGTGAAGTGGAAAGGCATCTAAGAGCCCGAAGTCTTGAAAGATTGTAGTGGTTTATTAAGCACCTTTCAAGCTTGATAGTTAGTGAAAAAGGATGATCGAGCAGCGTCAATCTGGACATAGGTCATGGTGGTGGTGATTGAGGCAGGATACATCTAGTTTGCAATTTCTCTAACCTTGAACTATTTATATTTATCTTGAAATTGCATTATTAAATTGTGTATATCTATTTAATAGCTGATATTTATTGCTCACACTAATACTTTCACTTAGAATTATCTGTGCTAAATCAATTGATTGAAGAAATATTGTTCAAAATATTAAAGGAGGCATTTTGCAAAAAGATTTGATAAAACTCAATTCACCCCCCCTTGAGTATTGAAGTCACTTATCTAACAAAGTGCAGAGAGTTTTGGGATAAAAATACAAATTATGAAAAATTACCTAAAACTTATAAATAAATTAGTGAGAGACTAATTTATGAGATAAAAAGTTAAAAACACATGTTTTGAAATATCAAGTATTGGCTAAAAAATAAATGTGAAAGGAAATGGTAAAAGAGCAGATTTACCAAGATAGAAGGGTTAAATGAGTAAATGACCAATTAAGTTAGTTGACCAAGTCAATCAACCTTAAGTGAGCAAGAAATCAAATTTTTGTCAAAACCCCTTCCTTAGTCCTCACCATCAATGGTCTTCCCTTCCTAAGAGCCAAACTCTATTGTTGAAAATCGAAGAACACCTAGAGTGAGCTATAGTGAACGAAATCAATTGGTTCTAAAGCCAAACTTGTTTAGTATTTAACCAAGAACAAAAACCCTTCCTCATTTTCAGATATAAAGCATCGTAAAGTGAGATATTCCCTTCTTACAGTTTCAAAAATATTGGAGAACTTATGGATTTTAGGAGTGTTTGAGCTCATAGGTGCTTTAAAGGTCCTCCTCTCCACATTCTAGAAGGATTTAGGGTAAGAAATCAAAACTCATTTTATGTTTTCATGGATTTTTGACAAATCTAGGTTTTGGTATGTGTAAATTCTGAAAATATTGGTTGGTGTGGTTAGAGTGTCAAAATGATGTAGCTTCCTTTGTAAAACATGCTTAGGATTGTTTCTTGATAAGGAAAAACCAATGAGTCAACCATTTGGCTCACTTTAAAAAAATTGTTCAAGATCATGTCAAGGTGAATTTCGAAAATTCTGTTTATGAGGGATTTTGATGGTGTGTTTGGTGCTAATTAAGGATGTAGTGTTGAGTCTTGTGACTTGATGGTGGAGGAGCATCCATTGGGGCAAACACTAGTTCAAGACCAAGTTTGTTGAAAATCACCAAAGAAGGTAAGTTCAGTGATTGAGTATTCAAGGGGAATTTTAGCTAAATGCTTGATGTTTCATGTGTTGAATGTTTGTATTGATCACATTGCCACATTTAGCCATAGGTTTCATTGTTGTGGTTTGTGTGATTGAGGGCTCTTGAGGTAGTAAAGGGCAAGTGAAAGAAGTCTACAAATCAGGTAAACTTCTGGACCTGGGGTCAATCCCTTTGTGTGTTCCACCATGATCCAATAGAGTAGTGGTTTTATGATAAATGTGTGTTATAACGTTATGACATAGTAGCATGCATTTGAGTATGATGATGAGTTATAAGTTATGTTTATGATGATGTAATATGTTTGAGATGTATCTCTGGCCAATAGATAGATTTATATTTACAATCACTTTTCTTGGAGCCCGATGGCCAACAAGGATTTTCATGGGATCAGATATCTAAGAAAACAAAAGGTTTCTTGAAAGTGCACTGTATCTATGGACTTTTCTTAGAGCAAGCCCTTGAGGAACTTCGTGGGGATTTGATGCTAAGAGACAAAAGGGTCTCTTGGAAGTTCCCTGGGAGTTGAGTTGAGATTATGTATGATATGATGATGTATTATATGCTATGTTATTTTACTGTGATGCACATGAAGTGAACTATAAGGTAAAGTAATCCTCTAACGACCCTTAGTTTACTGAAATTTTTATCTCACCTGTGTTGAGGATATCATTTCAGGTACCTCCACGGATGGAGAGGGAGCATCCCATGGCAAGAAGCCCACTTAGATGATATGACATAGCATGTGGATTTTCTGTTTATATTTTGATATAGATATCGTGTAAACAAATTTATTTTGAGCATTCACATGAGATGTATATTTTGAGGCCTAGATGATGGCTATATTTATCATGTATAATTCCAATTATGTAATTATTTAGAGAACAATGAACATAGATTATGTAATTGGACATTATATCATGGTTATGTATTTTTCATGAGTTGGTATTTAATCATGTTCATCTTGTAAGATTCATGTACAATTGATTACAGGACATGAATATGAATGATGTAATATCAACATGTGTATTTTGAATGACCAAGGATGAATTTGTGCAAGAGACCATTGTTGCATAATTGGACAGTAGAATATGATATGTCAATGTATGATTCATGAGATTATACTATGTTCAATGATATATGTAATGAGATGGTCCATGGAGGGATTTTAGATTTCATGCCTTGAGATGGTAAAGAATAGCATGAAATATGTACAAATGTCTATTAGGTGATACTATAGACTTGGAGAGGGGTGTAATATCCCATTATGCAACAAAACAGGGTTGTTATGCTCTATGCCCAGGAGTAATCAAATAGGTAATCGATTACTGCCTTGACAGAAATGAATTTTGAGCCACTGTCTTGAAAGTAATCGATTACTTTCAGGAAATAATCGATTACTTTTCGGGCAGCAATCAATTACTTGAGAGCATATAATCGATTACTTCCTGTGACACTGGCGTAATCTGTTACTCCTCGTGTTGTAATCGATTACTCATGCTTTGTTAGGCCTAAATCAACGTTTAATGAGTTATGATGTCTAAGTTAATGATAATGGACCTTAGGGGAGCTATATTAATTAATCATAACATGATATAAGGTCTTAGAGTAATTAATCATTGTAGATAGCTTAGTAAAAACTTATGTCAATTAAATGTGAAATGTCTAAAGGAAATGATAGTTGATAATGAGTTTAAAACTATGCCAGCTGCTTACCAAAAAAAAAAACTATGCTAGCTTATGAGAGCTTCATGGTTGTTGATATTAAATTAATTTAGGATGTTCCGCACAATACATGAATTATGATTAAGTTCTTGAATTATTTGAATACAAAATTATTTATTTAGCGGAAAAGAAAAAGAAGTGAAAGAAAAATTCATCCTAATTTGAATTTAATTACTTGATTATAACTGCACTTAATATTATATATAATAATAAAAAATTGATTTTAGAACGGATGTTACATTAATAAATCATAATTATTAAATATAATAATCGATCAATAATAAAAAATAAATGCAAGATCTTCTGTTAAACTAGTAAACCATCAGAACGCCGAAAAAGCCAAAGGTCTCATCAATTTTTTTAATTTTATTTTTTAAGAAACACTTATCTTTAATTTTTTTTTTTTTTTTTTTTTTTTTTTTTATAAAAGAAACTATAACCTCAAATTTTATATTTGCTAGTGGCTTTGCGATGTCCCTCGTCGTTGTTTGTCTGAGACATCAACCTCAGTAACCTTAAAATCTACGTCTTTCAGGCGACCGCGGCATTAACGCTTGCACATTCTGGCGGTCAACGATTCGAACACGGAGAGACTTAGCGGGTACGAGGACACCCACGACGTAGTTCCTATGTAGCTGTCAACTCCAATTCTATTGCTCCAGTGAGTGAGTGAGTGAGAGAGAGAGAGATGGAGGAAATTTCAAGTTCAGGTTACAAGGATTATGTAGCAGGCTTGCTCGCTGGCGTTGCCGCTGTAGCCACTGGCCACCCCTTTGACACCGTGAAGGTTCAATTTTTATCAACTGTTCTGAATGTGTTACCTTATCCCTTTCACCACACTCTCTTTGGTTTACTTCATTTTTTTTTAAAGGGTTTGAGAGATTATTTGATAATTCATAATTGTCCCTATCTGCTGAGTGTCTCTGCTGTTCTGCCTAGTGTTCGTTTAGGGAGTTTGAAAACTTGGTGAATATGGAAAGGTTTTCATTATCACTAAAAATAAAAGGGGGTGCTCTTATTTTCAATTGTCCATTATTTTTTGTCCCCCCTATTGTAATCAAGTGTAAGACAATTTACATCCCAAATTTTCAACAGGGCCATTTTTCTTTTCCATTTTTACCAAGCAGACACTTAATATGGTTAGTGTTATAGAGTTTTTTCATTGTTCATGGTTGATCGATCAGTTTAAGATTTTTTCTCTCTACTGTGTATGTCAACTTAAGTGTGTATGATATGTTATTTTGAGTTATGATAAACATGAGCATTTCTTTTAACCCTTGCCCTACCTTCCCCCTCTAAAAGAAAAGGTTCTTCTTTTTTATCATTTTCTTTTGTCCACGATCTTCTACTATGTTTTTATCTATCATACTTATATCTATTTTAGGTTCTTCCTTCCATGTTTCTTGGTGACTTCAGAATAGTTTTTATTGTGTTTAATTATATATTTAATTATTATCTACTTTTAAATTTTAGCTTATCTGTAAACTTTTTTTTCTTCTCCATTTATCAGGTGAAGATGCAAAAGCACAACACAGAAGCACATATGATTCAGTACAGAAGTGCATTGCATTGCACTGCTAGGATATTGAAGACTGAAGGAGTATGTTGACCTTTAACTTCCAATGGATAAAATTAATGGGTTATTCATTCCAAGTCCACACAGGAATATGAAATAATTAATAACGGCTAACTTGAATCAGTGCTGGTTAATATCCTTTCTTGTGTACTGGTCAATTTTAGTTTATCACAATGTAGGCATGTAGAGTAGTGGGGTCATTTACCTGATTGATATTGTTTCATCTAGTTATTTAGATTGGAAATTCTATAAATTATGAGACTATCACGTCGTCTGATATTTGTATTCTTTTTCTGGAGTCTGGTTGTTGGTGCACACAAAATGTTGTTTTGGGAGCTATCTTCCTATAGAAGAAAGGATGTTATGTCTGAACTGGAGATTATATTTCATAGAAGCTAATGATTGTGACATATTTTGTTAATTATTTGTAAAAATCTGGCAAGAACATCACTTGTTCTGTAAATGCAACAGGCAAATATGTCCAATTGTTACATTTTCTCTTTTTTGCTATTGTGATGCTTTCCTTTCAAGTGAAATTGTTTCTCTCTCCCCAGCTCCCACATCTTGCCTTTTGAATTTTGATTGAAAAAATATAATAGGAAAAAGGTGATACTAAACTTGCCCCCCTTTCATCATGAACTTTTAACTTTTTCTTTTACTATAAATTCTCCCTCCAAAACTGCATAAGCAAGAGGGTAAAGGCTGATTATCCCAAAGCCAAATTTTTAGAAGTTGGTTTTAACTTATATATATATCTTGTATAATTGAAGTTGAGGAAGGAAAACTTGGATGATAGGTGAGGTATTATTAAATGTACTTTAATTGTCTTATATTCAATATTGCTAGTATCCATATTCAGTTGTTGTCTGTCAAAGACTAGTTTTCTTAAAAGTTTAAGTTGTTAGGTGGAGATCTATGAATGATTTTTTTTTATATATGACATGCACCCTCACCTGAGCCCATAGACTTTAAGTATAGACAATGCATATACCTTGTGATGAAACTCAATTTAACTATGAAGAATGGGTGTGACATTGTCGAACTTTTGAACTCTTAGTTATAGAGGCTATGATACTATGGTAAAGGCTAACTTTCGTAAAAGCTTAAGCTGTTGGGTGGAGGTCCATGAATAATTTTATATCTCTAATAATATGATATGTAATGCTTTGTTTTTATTATGTATTTTTAATTAAAAATGTAATTTAGTACTAACTTTGTTTCAGATCAAAGGACTTTATAGAGGAGCAACATCATCTTTTGTTGGGATGGCTGTTGAAGGTTCACTTTTTTTTGGCTTTTATTCCCAGACCAAACTGTTCCTTCAGGTGTGCATGGAAATGACTTAAATGAAATTTATCCTGATTTGACATTGCACCAATCAGCATAAGTTGTTACGAGATAGAGTAATATAATCTTTTTAATGATTTTGTGGATGTATCTGTTATGATGTATCTTGTATCTCTTAGTGTGCTTTAGTTCATGCCTTCTACTTTTGTTTTTCTCCACTAATCTAGGGTGGTATGCGAAGTGGTGAACCCCGGCCTCAAGTGATAATACCATCTGCAGCTTTTAGTGGTGCCATCAATAGTTTTGTGTTATGTCCAACAGAGCTGGTGAAGGTAAAGCGAACCTAAGGTTTATGCTGCAGTGTCATTGGTAGCTCAGTTTTCTCTAACCATGCCAATTTAAATTTGAACTTCTCCAGTGTAGGATGCAGATCCAAGGCACTGACTCTCTGGTTCTTAAGTCCACTAGATACAGTAGTCCCCTTGATTGTGCCATTAGCACTGTAAAAACTGAAGGGGTGAGGAAATTCTGCAACATTCTGCAACGTCATGATTAATTTGTTATAGCTGATGGAATTCCTTTCAGGTGAAAGGAATTTTTCGTGGAGGTTTTACAACATTGCTTAGAGAATCTATAGGGAATGCTGTGTTTTTCAGTGTATACGAATATGTGCGTTATCACATGCATTCACATACCAAAACTGCTTCACCCAATTACAGCAACCTGATTGACATAGGAATTGGGATTGTTACTGGTGGCCTTGGGGGTGTGGCTGTAAGCATCTTGGCAACTAAGCAAGTTTTTTCTGCAGTGGTGACAACTAAATATGCTATTAACCATACTGAACCTTTTTTTTTTTGGTGATATTTCTCAATTGTTCTAACAGTTTTGGTTGACGGTTTTGCCCCTTGACGTGGCAAAGACTTTAATTCAGACTAACCCTGATAAAAGTTGTTCAAGAAATCCATTTCAGGTCTTGAGTTCAGTAAGCTCTCCTAAACCTTTCAACATCTGTTTCTTTAATTGCCAATCATTTAAAAAAAGGATATCCGAAATAGAGCCGACTCCAACTAGTTTGGGATAAAGGTGGTGTTGATGTTAATGTTGACATACGAAATAGAGAGGCCTAAAGTAGTTTTATTTGTAGGTGTACAGGAGGGCTGGATTGAAGGGGTGCTATACAGGCCTGGCACCTACAATAAGTCGAGCATTTCCAGCTAATGCAGCAACAATTGTCACCTGGGAGCTAGCAATGAAAATGTTAGGCATTAAGCATGACTGAGGTTTGTTCCTTTAAATTAAGATATGATGACTTTTAATTATCAGACTCATATCAAGTGGTGATTGCTGTTGCATTATTTTTCTAGAGTCTACGTAATTTATGTTGCGGATTATACAACAAAGCTCAAGTTTGCTTTCGTGAAGCCAATGTTACAAACTATATCAGAGTTGGACGAAGAGAAGAATGCTTTTAATAGATTGCATTTTTAGGGAGGAGCTTCTAATTTTTTCAATTTTTGTTTTTGTTGTGTGTTTTATGTACGAGGATAGCATTCAACATTGCATTTGAAGCTGCTTGTTGTTTAAGATTAGAGAGCTTGGAACAAGGGGCCTTGATTTTAGCTGCCTGTCAAAAAAAAAAATTTCCCATCAAATCTTTTGGATAGAACATTTCTATCACTGGAATGAAACAGTAGTTTAGTGTATAAGATGACTGTAAGGACATTCAAGTTAATATTTTGGAAATGGAAGCAGCATGTATGACCAAGTCAAAAAAGTCCACTTTTTTGGACAGTTAGACTGTGCTATCTGGTGCTGCCTTTTTTGGCCTTTCTGCAACTCGAGGTCGATATAATGTGAAAAGTTAGTTACACAAACCTTTTTGGAAGAGGACTCTTGTTTGGAAGAGAAAAAGTGGGGGAGAGAGGAAAAAGATGATTGTGAGTTTCATTCATTCTTTCTTATATATATATAAAAATAAGGGAAGTTATATTTACAACCTCTTACAATCAAATCTTAATCATTGATTTTCATCAATCTGACGGTTATAATTTATTAGGTCACACTTATTAATTAATTATTAATTTTCAATAAATTATAACGTCTAAGATTTGATTGTAAGAGGGTTATAAGTGAAAAAAGGTTGTAAATATAATCTATATATATATATATACATATACATATAGGGTTTAGTGAGTATCAAGTGACTTGATGTAAATTAGGTCCAGTGCACTATATTCTCCCGCGAGAATATAGTGCACAAATTTTTTTGTCTATGTTCTTCCGAGAGAACACCATTGTAATGTTTTTGCACTATATTTTTGCGGGAGAATATAGTCAAAATTCACTTACTGGACAATCTAGTGACTGAATTTTGGATTTTTCGAGATATATATATATATACTCAATTATAATAATTTAACCTCTGCAAGGACCGAGTCTATTATCATCTCATGCAGTTACTTGTTGAAATTTCGGCAGTCTGCGTCTGGCTCATTTATGTTTTTGTTTTTGTTTTTATTTTTTTGTTTTATATATATTCACCGGTTCATCAATTATTATATTAGTCCGGTTTGAATACTATCGGATCCATTCTAAGAGGTGGTTCTCTCAAAATTATTTTCTCCCTCATGTTTTTAGTTCCCTTTTATCTGATTTATTAACATTAACGTTACATTTTTAGTACCTCTTGTCTGGTCCTTAACATTCAAGTTGCATTTTTCTCTTGATTGGTTACCATGGAGCCTCTGTCTTAGATCGTGTACATGTTCGATGATGAATGTTTTAAATTTTAATCATAAAGTTGAGGCAATTAGGTTGGTTTTCTGATTCAAATTGAGTATTTTAGAGCTTCAAATTCTTGGTCGAGTTGCACCTTCATCTCTATGAACCTTGAAAATGGGCTTCTCCCGTTGCTCAATTGAGAGATATTGTAACAAAGAGAGAAAGGGGATGACCTAACACTGATTTTGACCATTAATAAAATAAAATAAATCAAATCTGGGTACAAACAACGGTTCAAATGACCGTAAAAATTTTCAGTGGATAATTCCCTAAATTATAATCCTCAGGGTTGAAGATTATGTGTTCCACATTTCAATTGAATATTGTTTATTTTATGGAACATTTAATTTTACAGCTGATTACTGTTTATGATGAGGATCCTCTGCATTTGTAACCGAAGAGTCTAGTTTTCCATCCAATAGTTCATGTTTAATGAATTATGTATCTCATTGATTTTTTTTTATTAGGTAATAAAATATTTTTAAGGGATGAGATACCTTGTGGTTCTAAAACTGAATATTATCGTCCTTGCTAAAATAAGTATCTCTATATTTCATAGGGGAAGGATATACTTACCACTAAAAAAGTTTACTATCTTTACAATCAATCTAATCTCCGTTGATTTTCATCAATCTAATGATTATAATTTATTGAAAATTAATAAATAACTAATAAATACGATCTAATAAATTATAACTCTTAGATTGATAGAAATCAACGAAGATTAGGTTGGTTGTAAATGTGGTAAACTTTTTTGGTAGTAAGTATATCTTGCCCCTATTTCATATATCAAACTATTCTAAATAAACATTTCATAGCCTAAGGATATGTTTGGAAGGAGGAGAATGAAACAAAGGGACTGGGAGAAAAAAAGCTCTGAGTAAAATAATTGGTTCTTGTTTGGAAGATTTTAAAAATGAGGAAAGGAAAATGAGGGATTATAAATTATAATATAAACATGTAGCCTCTGAACCCTTCTCTACTTTTATTGTAATTTTTTTTTTTAATTTTTTCTCCCCTTTTTCTTCTGTCTTCCAAAAGTATTTTAAGTGTGGTTGCGGCTTCTTAGCATTTAGCTGGGCAGTGGAGCATACCGAGGTGGGCTTTTCATGGCACCCCTCAAGTTAGTACCCAACTGCCCCTTACTTGTATAAGGTGTTTTGGTAGTGATAACCTGAACTCATCAAATAAAAATATTAAAACCCTAAACCCTACCCACCAGTCTGCTCCTATGAAAATTTCAAAATAAATTCATAGTAATTAATAATTAATCACAAACTCAAAGCCAAAGGCATATCTTTTCAAGGGTTGAGGGAGCAATTGCCTCCCATTAATCTTTTTGAATAATATTTACTATTAATTGTATACGACTGACGAATGTCATTTTTAGTTTTCAACGAGTTTTTGAAGAAAAATTCGATGATAATTCTAAATTATCAGCATGATACACACACACATATATATATATATATATATATATATATATATATATATATATATATATATATAGTGTGATATAGTTAAATTAAAAAAATTATATGTATAGTACCACAAGGTGGGTACAAATTGCCAAGTTGTTTTTTTATCATCTTCCCCTTATACAATTCAGACCTTTAATAGTAAAACTTGTACGTTACAAACAAATGCCCCTTGTAGCTTGTTATATGAAGTGAGTGAGGAATGCATGTTTTTTATGTTTGGCTTTGGCTGCAAAGATCTGTACGAAGAAGTGTCCTCTAGCATGAATAATAAACAAACAAAAAAATCAAAAGTAGAAATGAGAACAATATTAAGTGGTATCTATCTATCAATGCACTAATGCACACTTGTGTTTTGGTACCTTTGACAATTTTGTCTAACAATAATTACCCACTATCTTTATTCCTTAGTCTAAGTAACTTATCATAGATAGTCAAATTTGAATACAAATTTTGTCTACAAAGATAAATGCATTGATCTATGATGGATGTGAAGTCTCTAGGCTGAGACTTATAAATCACCCAGTATTTGTGCATATGAAAGAGTGCTGCCATATGCTACTTATACCAAAATTTTATCTCAGTCCACATTACTTATCTAATTAAGTCAATTATATTTTAACAAAATACTGTTACATGCAGAAAAAGAAAGGATATTATCAAATCATATTTGATTGTAAATATTCTTTTAATTTATTTTCATTATTATATTTTTTTTAATTTGATTACTTGCCCTGATCCAATTAAGTTTTGGACATTCAGCAAATAAAATTGAAAAAAAAAAATTCATCAAAATATCAGAGAAAGTAATACTAGTAAATTGAAGAAGTATGCAAAAGAAACCAATACTTTCAAAAGTCATGTGTTCAAGCAAGATCTTAAGGAGTCTAGGTGAAGATATCCTCTCATAAATGTAACTAACAGGAACAATCTCTGCATATAGATTGATAGAAGATAGAGAACATCTTTGGAGAGCAGTAACAGTAATTCGAATATGGCTGGGGATTTTATCAGAATGACATGCTTGCCTCAATGTTCATAAATGTCCATCTCACCAATGAAATCATTCTCCATGATAGTCAAATGTACTTTTGCGACGCCTCTCGTTATGCCCAGCCAAACGCCTTCTACAACTCCTTTTTGAGTCATCAAATTCTGAAAGCTCATGAAATCTAGAAAATTACAAGATTTTGAAGAGAAGTTAGTTGCCACAGAAAATTGTCAAGACACTGAATTAATTTTGTTCCAATGGGGAGCAATATATGCTTTTTTGGTTGATTTATATTACACAAGGGACAGGTTCAAGTCTTCCCCTCGCCTGGAGAAAAAATTTATGTAACTATTATATCAATGTGTTAAAATTATGTTGATGAATGAGTGTTACCCTAAAACATGGGCTTTATGGCCATATTACGATCTTTTACAAAAAAATATTTATTTAATTCATTTTTGAAACAATTATTCCGACAAATGCAATTAATCTCGCACGTTGACCGTACGGTACAAGTCTTGCACGTCAACATACAGGATTTAGTGTCAACGTGGAAGTCCCGCACGATAAACGTATAAGACTCTTGAAGTCCTGCATTACAAACGTACGAGACTAGTCCCATATTACTCTCGTGTAGGACTTATGTATCTATAAGTCTGAAAACCACACAAACCCCCTCATTTTCTCCTTTCATTCATCTCTCTTTGTCCCGCACGAGATCAATATGGGACTAGTCTCGTACATTTTCCGTGAGAGACTTTCATATTGGCACTAATTCCACATAATTAACATGCAAGACTTATTTTGTACGGTTAATCTGTATAATTAACCATATCAGTCTAAATAATTATTTCAAAAAAAAATTAAATTGGAATATATATATTTTTTCTGAAAGATCCTAATACGGTAAAAAAAAAACCCTAAAACATGCATCAACATTTTTAGTAATATTGGTTGATCTGATTAAAATAACCAATGAACCCACTGTGTCTTGTCAACCTAATGGATCATAATGATGACTCCAAATCTAATTGATCAAAAAATAGAAGTTGGATCCATATTTGGTGTTTGGTAAATGCCATCCAGAATAAATCTATCTGCCAAGATCTTGATGTCAGATCAGCCCCTATTTTACTACAAACAGCTGGTCAACTACGATTTGCCTTAGTGAATAATGTTATAGTAATAGAATTGTATTTTTTTTTGGACGATAATAGAATTGGATTTGAAATCATTTTGTGAATGGTTTCTATAACATTGTACAAAATCAGGGTAGTGTTTCTATATCCAAGAATTTTCATTTTGTGAGTTGCTAAATCTTTCTGAATTAGTTTTATATCTTAGATTTTCCATTTTGGGAGTTGCTAAATCTTTCTAGATTATAAGTCACAATCAATAGATTAGTTTATTATAGCTGTGTGTGTTTGGTAGAAGTGAAAATCCCAAAGTAAGAATTTTGGAGGTAAAATTAAACAAAATACATGGAAACAATATATGCAGGGGGTGAGCCTTGGCTCAAGACACAAGATTATTATCCTAGAAATGCATGTCTCGTTTTCACTCCAAAGCACACCCTAATGCACCATTCAAATTGAAGAGAGTTTTGTCCTTAATTTCCTCAACCTAGGGCTGCTTGAAAAAAGAGAAAAAAATATAAAATAAATTCTAATCAAACCTCTTTCCCTCAGCTAGTCAGTACACAGCAAATACTAACCTTCAATAATAAAATGACATGTAAACAGTATAATATATAATCAGATTCACAAAATTCTATTTATTTCAAATAGACTAGGGTTTTCCAACCTGCTACGTTGCTGGCAAAACCTTTGCATCTGTCCTGCAATGTGTACGGATGGAGACTTGGCATGGTACACACAAACCTTATGTCTTCGGTGATACTGCTTACCTTCGCTTAAATCAGCATCACAACTATCTACCTGACAAGAAGGTAACATTGAGCCTCCAGCTTTAGACCCTCTCTTGCTATAGGGATTTTTCACCACTCTCTTCCTCCTTCCATCTTCTTCGAAATCCATCTCGTTAACCTCTTCCTCTTCCTCTGCTCCCTCATCATTCTCTTCTTTGTACCTCAATGTTCTCTTTCTCTCTGACCTGTTTGGGTCCATTAGTTCAGAGAAAGAAAGAGAGATCCAGAAGACGGTTAAGGAGAACAAGACCATATATAAAACCTTGATATAAATAGAATAAAACAATAAGGGTAAAAAGGATGAGAAATGGGTGAGGACCACACAGGGTATGGTACGGGTCTCCATTTCTTTGTTTTCAACACGAGGGTAACAGTAAATGACCCAAACCAAAGTAGCTAGCCTACGTTTTAATAGGTTTGTACAATATAAGAAGACCTATGGAAGACTATAAGGAAACCCTTGTCCCTCACTCTTCTTAATTGCCTTGGACTTTTCTTAGACAACAATTTTGGTGAAGAGAATGATAGCTGAGCAAGTTGATCAACACTTTTATTCCTTTTGGTAAAAAAAAAATGTTACCTTATATGTAGTGGCTCTCAATCATTCAAATCAACTCTTTGAAGGCTCGTTAATTTATTTCCTTCAAGGGTGGCTAGCTTGTCATCACTCCATCACTATCTAGAAAAGAAGAACGGAAAAAATGGAAAAGAAAAGGTTAAAGGTCTACTTCCTCTTTTCAAGTTTGAAATTTTTTTATCTGGTTTTGAAGATCTAATTATAAATTATTACGAAATGACGAAACAAAAATTGAACTGAATACCTTTGTGTACAGGAGAACTCAACATAGCTTTCAAATCTTGATTAAAGAAAAGAGATTAGCTAGAAATAAAAAGATGGCTTCTTCTGTCCACAATGATAAGCAGACATTACTATTCTTACATTTTTTTTACATGGCTAAAGATGTACGAATTTGTACATTATTAACAGAGGAAAAATAATGTAAATTTTTTTTTTAACGTGTGATTGACAATCATTTTTCCTCTTTCCTTTTAAAATGCAATCATGTCAAGACAAAATAAAACCCAACACGTAAATATAATAACAAAACATCAATATTAAGCATCTTGTCTTATATATGTGGACAAAATTTTTCTCATCTAGTAACTAGTTAGCAAGCATGGTAATTAACTAATTATTAGAAAACAACAGAAGTATATAGTAGTCGTTTTCGCTGAGAGGAAAAGGGATGTGGTATGGGTTAAGATTCTATCCTCAACCTGATCATGCATTTGCATTATTGAAAGGAAAGTAAGATATGATAAATTCATTTTACAAGCTTTGGCCACGTGTTACGTACGAATGACCAGGACTATTGCATGGTTTTGGATACTCTAGTTTTCGTCCCTGATGGTTAAAGAGAAATTTAGTAGAGGAATTATTAAACACAAATTCACAATCATTTTATTCAACCTTTGACATCTAAAAAGGATATTTTCCTTAAAAAAAATAATGTATTTTGAACATGATTTATACAATCATACATATATTAAATGTCGAACAAAGTGTTATAATTAAGATGCTTTGTCTGCTTTAGACTTTCTCATTGCTTGATTACACAATTCGTTAACTACTAATTTGCATTTTTGTAAGGAGCCATTTGTTGTGCAACAAAATGGACAGCTAGCCCTATACACAGTTACCGTTCTTATAACATCCACCATATATGCTAGGACAGCCTTTATTTATTATGATTTTTATATTGGTCCCCAGTTGTACTAGGAAACTTACAATATGAAAGTGAGTTTTGTTTTATAGAGTACTCAACACACAAACACAACCTAACCACATACATATAATAGTTTTCAACGTGCATATACACAATGGAGTTAACTGTTTATTCAAACATCAAATTGTGTATATCCACTCAAGACCGACCGCAAAAATAAGCAATAGAAGAAGCTTTTCTGTTGTCCTGCAAAGCAATCTAAAGTAGTTTGTGGGCTTTTTATCAGAGTTTAATTTTTTTGACAAATATTTTATCAATTTAATGCGAAAGATGCATATTCTTGAAATATACATTCAAGTCACGCATGCCCTTGTATGTGACTTGTGCAAAAATCAGTGTAATAAATAAGGCATGTATTCTATTAGTCACGTTCAAGTTGTGCAAAAACACAATCTAAAGTAGTTTGTGGGCTTTTTCATATCAGAGTTTAATTTTTTTGACAAATATTTTATCAATTTAATGCGAAAAGATGCATATTCTTGAAATATACATTCAAGTCACGCATGCCCTCGTATGTGACTTATGCAAAAATCAGTGTAATACATAAGACATGTATTCTATTAGTCACGTTCAAGTTGTGCAAAAACACAATACGTGCCAGACATCCGTCGATTTTTGCACAAATCACACATTGTAAGACTTGGACATGCATTACTAAAATGTGCATCATTTCGTGTTAGATTAATTAATCTTTTCTCAAAAAATTAAACTAGCAAATATATTAATATATAATTAGTTAGATGGGTAAAAATAAAACCGTAGTTTGTGCCTGGTTACTTTACCAATGTTTTATCCAAACACTGTTTCAAAAGTCGCCACTCGCCATGTTCAAATGGCTTCAAATAAAGCATGTTAACCATTTTCCTGTATAACAAGTTGACAAAAACAAAAAAAGCGTACGACTTTTTTCTTATACATTTTTTTACCATATAGAAAAGACGAGTGCATTAAATTTGTTATATTTCATCTTTAAATTATTCATTAATGTGAGCATTTAGGAGTGTTTAAAACCGAACAACCTAAACAAAATTAGGGAAGAAACAAATCGAAAAAATCAAAAAATTAAAAATCAAAAAACTGAAAATAAAAAATGTACTTGAATTAGATCAATTTTCTTTTTTAATCTTAAAAACTAATTCTATTCAATTCAAATTGAAGGTTTAAATATATTTAGAGGGTTTATCCTTTCTCTTATCAGAGGAGATAAAATTATCTCCAACAACCTAAAAATTACATTGTTTGGAGGGTTGAGGGAATTAATGCAGGGTATTTTAGTAAAACTTATAATAGACAATTTCACATACTGGAGACGGACAATGGAAGATCATATCTTTTGTAAGGACATGTATGAGCCCATCCTGATGCTTAAAGGCCGGAGGGGAAGCATGAAAAAGAATGGGAAATCCTAAATATAAAGGTGGTAGCTATGATTAGGAAATATATTAACAAGAGCTTGTTTGAGTATGTGTCTCAGTTCACAAATGCCCACGAGCTATGGACGAAGTTGGAGTCAATAATTCAAAAGAAGACTCACAGGAACAAGGCTCACTTGGTTTGTTGACTTGTGAAGCTTGAATACAAGGACGACATGAGCATGTTTGAGCACCTCAACACGTACAAAGGCATGTGAATCAATTGCTAAAGCTAAAATGAGAATTGATGAAGAGCTCCAAGCTCTATTAATCCTCAGCTCGCTGCTAGAAAATTGGGATACCCTAGTAGTGACATTGAGAAACTCAGCTCCTGAGGGATAATTGACAATGGACATTGTGACTGATAGCCTTCTGAACGAGGAATCTAGAAGAGAGAGACTCGTAACCAATATGGCTGATGTAAACGTTGCTGAAAATATAAGCATATCTAACTTCCGGGGTTGTAGCAAGAGCCAAGGTTGTGACAAGTCTAGAGGTCGTTCAAGGCCAAAGTATGAGTTGATTTGCTTTTATTGTGGGAAGCCTGAACACAAGAAACCTGATCGGCAAACTACGAAGAAAGATTAAAAGAGTGACAATGTGAAGCCATATCAGATAAATCCAAAGAAGAAAAAAGATAATAACACCACTGCGGTGGCTACCAACTCTGATATTGAGATCTTTCGCTTAGGTTAAAATAATTTTTTACATTGCCTATGATGACTGCATCTGGATAGTTGATTCAAGTGCCTCCTTCCACGTCACTCCATATTAATTTTTCTTCTTTTCCTATAAAAGTTATGATTTTAGAGTTATGAATATAGGAAACGAGGTTACCAACAAGAAAGTCAGGCATGTACTTAAGATAAGCCTTAATCTAATCTCAGTGAGAAAGTTAGATGATGTTGGATTAGTAAACAATTTTGGAGTAGAAAATTGAAAGTTAGCTAAGGGTAGTATGGTGTTTGCCCTCGAAAAAATGAAGGATCATTGTATATAATACAAGGGAAAAGAATGACATTAGAGAAGCCAACGTTGTCCGAGATAGACCTATCATGGTGTTGTGGCACAATTGACTCGGTCACATGAGTGAAAAAGATCTTCAAATACTGAACAAGAATGAATTCTTGACCGGGCTAAAGGGATAGATGTTGCATAGCTGCACTCACTGCCTGACTGGAAAGCAGTGTCAAGTTTCATTCGTGAGATCAAATTAGCCCAGAAGACACATACTTAAGCTTGTCCACACTGACATATGTTTCATGTCAGAGAGATCATTCAGTGGGACTCATTACTTTGTTTCTTTTATTGATGATCACTCCAGCAAAGTGTGGATATATTTATTGCGTTCTAAAGACTAGGTACTCGAAGATTTTAAAAAATTCCATGGTATGGTGGAAAGGAAGACTAGCAAGAAGCTAGATATTCTCCGATCTGACAAAAGAGGAGAATATTGTGGCCCATTCAATGCTTACTGTAGAGCGGCAAGAATAAGATTATAGAAGATGCCATCCAAAACACCTCAGCTGAATGGAGTAGTTAATAGGATAAATTAGACTATAGAAGAAAGAGTCTGAAGTATATTGTCCGATATTGGGTTGCCAAAATCATTTTGGGATGAGGTTATCAGAACTACAGTTGACCTGATAAACCATCTAGGCCCTTAGAAGGAGATATTTTGATGAAGTATGAACAGTATGAAAAACATCTTGTAGTCACTTGAAAGCATTTGGATGTCAAGCCTTTTATGCATATCTTAAAAGATAAAAGGGCAAAGCTTAATACGATAACAAAAGAGTGCATATACCTCAGTTCACAGAGATATGAATTCAGATATAGACTTTGGGATCCTATTGATTGGAAAGTGGCGAGAAGTCATGACGTAGTGTTCCATGAAGATGAGACTATAAAAAGATTACAAAGCCCAAAGTTAGGGTTGTTGTTAGTCGTGAAGAACTCGTCCCTCTTGTCTGAGCTGAAGCAGGGGGAGAGAACATTCAAGAAAATGTTGAAAGTAATGACCAACAAAGAGAAGACCCACATATTAAAGGTGTTGAAGAAATACATGATACACGATGA